CTACTGCTACAATATTAATTGGCGGGAAATGGAACAATGTCTCAGCAGTTAAGAGCACAGCCATCGCTCTTCCAGACGATCTCGGTTTCATTCCCAGCACCCACACGGTGGTTCACAACCATGTGTAACCCCTCTTCTAGTCTCTGTGAGCTCCAGGAGTGGTGCACAGATGTACCTACAGGCAAAACACCCAAGCACATGAACGTGAAGTAAAAGAGAACATTGTAAAAGGACACTAATTCTCCTGAAGTTAAGCCTGTCCTTTCCATGAGATCTCAGTCAGCATCCAGGCAGGCTTTTTCCTTTTTGTTTGTTTGTTTGCTGTTATAAACATTGGCAAACATAGATAATTTTTTTTTTGGAAATAAAAAAAGACAGTTTTTCAGAGAATTTTGAGAAAGCTAGGTTGGGTGACTTATTTGGTAAGTCTTGATTTGCTGATTTATGGATAGAGATAATAGAATGGAATAGAGTCTAGAAATGTACTACAAGTAAGTAGCCAGTTGCTTATCTTAGTCACAATGGATATTATTTTCTGTAAGTGACATGAAACAATCGATATCCCTATTTTAAAAAAGAGTGCTATTAACATACATATATAAAGGTTAAGAGTCACAGACTAGCTGCATCTTTAGTAACATGTATATATTATATAATATGTATATTTATACATGTATAAATATATATAGCTATATATTTACATGCTGTTTATAAATATTATATTTGATGGACACACATTTATTAAGAGCGGAAGGGCATGCATCTAAACTCTAGATTAAAGACATGCTATTCAAGCCGGGCGGTGGTGGCGCACGCCTTTAATCCCAGCACTCGGGAGGCAGAGCCAGGCGGATCTCTGTGAGTTCGAGGCCAGCCTGGACTACCAAGTGAGTTCCAGGAAAGGCGCAAAGCTACACAGAGAAACCCTGTCTCGAAAAACCAAAAAAAAAAAAAAAAAAAAAAAAAAAAAAAAGACATGCTATTCATATTTCAGACACTCCCAACATCAAATACAAACAGATGCTAAGAGCTTTGCAATGAACAGGCTACATATAAAACCACATCTGTATCAAGTATTTTAAAAGAAACTAAAGATTACTGGTTCAATCGAACAAAGCCTTCGAATTGTAAAGGGAAAATTATTTTATTTCTAACCTGGAAATCCCGTACTAAAAAGAGGGAGAGAAACACATTAGACTTAGGCAATCAGAGAGGCCAGTCATAGAGAAACAGTGGGCAGTACTAAGACTGCAATTATACAATAAGCCAAAAGCACCGTAGGTTCTGGCGAGTTTGGAGTCCACCTGGCTGTGGGAAGCCAAGAAGGGAGGGGGAGGCATGTCAAAGACCTGAGAATGGGTTGGGATCGCAATGTTTAGAACTGTTCTCACTAGGTGTGAGACATCTGTGGGGGAACAGGAGCCTTGGGCACAGTACCACAAAAAGCAGTGAAAGATAAAAATGCAGTTTTTAAATAGGAAAACTTGAAAACTGTACAAGAACTGAAAAGGAATTGAATCCCGCCATATAATAGGATGCTATGATTAATATCTCCATTAATAATGGACATTTCCATTTTATAGCATTAACTTGAAATTGTCTTGTAACTTGAAATCAAAGGAGGCCTGAGAGGATGTTTATGGATGCTGAATTCTTACCAAAAGGCAACGTATCATCTCTAACACTGATGGACAAAGAAAAATATGTACGTTGTTTAATAGGATATAATCATGAGACGTTGGAAAATGTTGCTTTGGGGATTATGATTAATTACGGGGGACAGACAGGAAAGGCTTAATGTATTTCATTTACGTTGTTTTAGTTTTCTTTACAAATGGGTGTGTTTAGCTGATAAAAAATAAAAATAATCATTAAATTAAAAAGAAAATAAACATGCTGGAGAGATGATGACTCAGTGGTTCAGAGCACTTGCTGTTTATCCAGAGGACCCAAGTTTAGTTCCCAGCACTCACGTGGCGGCTCACAGTCACCACCCATAAGAGATGTTCCTACCTCGGACCCATCTTTCTGTTCCATCATCTCATACTAAAGATTCCATATGTTGTGCTATCCCCCCGTTCTTTTACACTGCAGAATCTGTCACCATCTATAGTATATTGCTAGCAAATGGAGTCCCTGTCCTACCAGACTGTAATACACACGTGGGAACCATGATGGTTTGTTCTACACTGTGTCAGTTTCAGCATTGTATTGGTACCTGCTGTTCCTTTTGATAAATATATATTCAATAAATGAGAGCAGGAAAAGAAAGGGTAGAATATTTCCAGAGCAGCTTTCTTTGAGATAGAATAGTATTCTAGTAAGACTTTGCAGAATCCAGAATGTCACCCAGTATTTGTTTTCTTGCTATAAAGTGGAGATGAAGAGGTGATGAAATTGAGTTTATGCTTCTAAAACTCCATTTTAAAAGTTAATTACTGGCGTCCTTATTGATCTCACTGGGCACAGGATGAGATGAAGAGGGAGGGCTAGTATGTTGGAAAAAAACTCAATGACAAAAATGAGAGAAGAATTAAAACACATTAAATAGGTTCCAAAAAAGAGGGGAGCTAGGAAATGAGCCGGCATCAGTAAAAAGTTGTGACAGTCAATGTTGGGTGTCACCTTGACAGTATAGAGAAGGACTAAGAACGTGGTGAGGGGTCATCTAGAATAGGTCAGCCTCCAGCATGGCCTTCGCGGTTATATTAACTAGGTTAATTGAGGGGGAAGACCCACCCTAAAATTTGGTGGTATAACTCCTGGGGCTTGGGCGCATAGAAAGGAGAAAAAAATGGTGAAGAACCCTGTTCATGGCTCTCTGCTTCCTGGTTGTGGGGCTGTGTGACCTCCCGCCACTTTAACTTCCCAGACAAGCTGCGCTGTAAACCGAAATAAACTCCTTCTTCTGCTGAGTTGTTGGTGTCAGGGCATTTCATCACAGCAACAGGGAAAGATACTCAGACAAAAGTGTGTGTGTGTGTGTGTGTGTGTGTGTGTGTGTGTGTGTGTGTGTGTGTGTGTGTGTCTGTGTGTCTGTGTGTGTGTGTACTAATATATAAATATGTTACTCTATCCAGTAAATTGAGGGGTTACAGAGGTTAGAAGTCAAGAGCAGTAGCATATATCCATACTTCTGTTAGGTTGACATGGTATAACGAATGCTTAAAGTAACATGGAGAAAATATGTTAAAATAAACAGGACACAGGTATCATAGTATCCAGTGCAATAAAGCCAACACCAGGGTTGTTGGGAGATGACTGAACTGTTTCACGGTGGACTATGCTTGCAATATGAAGTGTGTGATGAGTATTTATTGGTTAGTAGACTTACTCGGTATAATGTTGTCATTGTTTCTATGGTAATAGAATATGAGCGTGCCATTAGGTAGTGTCACATCTTGCGGTATACTTACCTGTAGATACATATTATTGAAAATGTTTTCATCTAAAAGCATTTTCTTATGTTTTAATGCTCCCGTGGAAGACATATTCTACACATGTATTAACATCTACTTTCCAGAAGTAGAACAATGAATACCTGGTTTTCAAAAATAGATATTATGCCCCAGTATTTTAAAATGGCTCATCTTGCCTTAAATCACTTTTGTTTAAAATGATTTATAAAATGTACATTATGAAATAATTGATTATAATGTGTATGTGCATCAAATAGGATCCACGATTTGAGCTTGGTTTTGTTAGGTTTTGTTGTTGTTTCTAAAATGCGAAGGTTAGGCAGCTTTGAGTGCTTCTGCTTGTGACAGCTCCACAGTTCCCCTGTGTCCTCACCTGGGATTATAAGGTAGCTGGCAGTGAGGTTGTTACTATGAAAAAGTAGACTCCTGTTTCTTCACTAGGCAAACTGAGTGATTCCCCAGGAGTCCGATGAGATTAACTGGCCTGATTCACACTGTCCTTAAGGGCTGAGGGCCCTGGTGTTGACCACTTACTGGTATCTGTTGTTCTGGACCCATGTCAAGCCAAGAACCAAAGTGCTCCAAGACAGCCTTGTGGATAATCCTGTCCCCAAATATCCATCAATCCATACAGGTTTTTTTTTTTTTCCCTAAGATTTTTTTAAAAGTTGTCCACCATAATCATTACATACATGTCTTAGTGGCTATATTGAGATAGTGGCTCCCTCACTATTAGGAGAAATTCCCTCCCATAATATGAGATGCGTTGGAAGGCACCGTTACCATGGCAACTAAATAGTTGGGGATCCAGTGGTTCTCCTTAATAGTCCCAGCTCGCAACCTCTCAGAAGGTAATTCTTGGTATTACAGAGGCAGGATCTGCACAAAAGAGCATACCCACTTGTTGCTAAGCTCTGGTGTGTGAACAGTTACTATCCAGTGGGGGGAGAGAGAGAGAGAGGAGAGAGAGAGAGAGAGAGAGAGAGAGAGAGACCCTCCTTAGTTATATCTATAATTTTTTTTTCAACGCTTGAATTCTTTTTAATTTTCTTGGTACCCATGAATAATCCCTTTTTATTTAAACAGTGACATTTCAAGCTGTTGCATTTTTAGTTTTTCTTCAGAAAAATTCTCAGCTCTTACTAAAACTCATATGTGCATGCACACACACACACACACACACACACACACACACACACACACACACACACTTACTGTACATATGCAAGATAGCCCTCATCTGACTTTTTAATGAGTGAAACCTGGCATAACTGTGTAAAGGTTAATGTGTGTTATAGTCACATAATGTAAAAATTGGTCATCAGCCATCGAGGACGGGAATACAGAGAACACAGTCAGAACACGAGTTGATTCAGTATTTCCCCTACTCCTGAACGCGTGATCTTCCTATCTTCTTGCACGTCTTTCGCGTTGGTAGACAATTTATTGTTTTCGCCTGAATTGGAGTGTGGAGGAGGAAGAGACTGTCTGAAGAGCATATAAATGTCTCTTCCAAACTATGAGAAACTAGCTGTTCATTTGCTGAGGTGAGGAGCACGCTAACCCTGACTCTCTTCACAGTGGGTAAGCCTCACAAGTGTAACTACTGTGGACGAAGCTACAAGCAGCGCAGCTCACTGGAGGAACACAAGGAACGCTGTCACAACTATCTCCAGAATGTCAGCATGGAGGCTGCTGGGCAGGTCATGAGTCACCATGGTGGGTAAAAATGCATTTGTGCTTTTCGTTCCTTCCTATTCTGCTGTGTACAGTCCCCTTCGTGGGTTGTTAGATCATTCCGTCTCCTTCCTGCAGTTCTCAGCCACCTTTACTTTGTACGGGATTGTCTTCCTCAGCAGTTGACGTGAGCTGTTTTGGAACACACTCCGAACAAGATTCTCGAGTTCCCGTGGCACTCCCAAATCAGTTCTGATAGCATGTGTTTGAATTAACACAGTAATGACAGCCAGCATTAGAGCTACATTAGAAATGCCACAAGGAAGTACTGTTTAGTCTTCTCTTGTATTTCTCCATTGAAATGGCTCCACAGAAGTCTCAGTTCCCTGCATGAATGCAGAGGGTGTTAACATTATAACTCCTCTCAGAGGTGCTCAATCGACTTGAGATCGCGCCTCAGAATTTGTTTGAGGAATTAGTGATTTTACTTTATACATATGCAAGAGACAACCCAGACCCAAATTTGACCCCTCTCCGTCCCCCTAAAACACATTCTGTCAGAAAAACATCTCAATCCTAACAATACAAAGGTGGTCCGGATGGTTAATTCAGCTAATCAGTCTTACAAAGGACAGTAATGAATTTGAGTTCTTCAAATTCTTAGTGTCTCTCTTATCTTACCACTTATACCAAATGATTTCATACAGATAAAAACAGAAGTTCTACCTTATTGGTATTTTAGTGTTTTATTTTAAAAGGATTGCCTAATACTAGATGGTATAATTTGCCTAAGTCACTTTAGAAATATTAATATTCATTGACTTAGATATAGACAAATCAAAGGTCGTTTATCAGATTTTTTTAGTTTGTTTTTTATATACATAATATGCTGTGGAAGTATGCTTATTACACAGTTAATGATTTTGTGGTTTTGAGGGTTTTTTTCACAATTTTAAACATACTGTTATTTTACATAGAGCCCTTACATAAAGAATGATTCTGTCCACTAAATGGATGAGGGAGGCTAGCACAGAACCCAGAACATGGAGGTTATACAACTGTGGGCCTTGGAGTTTGACAAATCTGGACTGACTATCTGGTGTGTGAATGTGTTAGTCCTAGGTATGCTGTGATAATTAGATGTAATAGGTTATATAATAAATGTCTCTCAAATGATTATTTTGCTATTAGATTTTAGGGCATTAATACTAAGAACCAGTAAATAGGCCATTCTCTTTAATGTTATTACTGCTTAACATTGCAGGTTGCATTTGCCTGCTCAGAACATTGTTTTGTTCTAAACCAGTGGCTCTCAACCTTCCCAATGCTACAACCCTTTAATACAGTTCCTTGTGTTGTGGTGACCCCCACCCTAAAATTACTTTTATTACTACTTCATGACTGTAATTTTGCTGCTTTTATGAATCATAATGTAAATAGTTTTTGAGAGAGAGGTTTGCTTGAGAACAACTGTTCTAAATTTTTAGTTTGGGGACAGACTGGAGGCAGAGGACTGAAGTCCATTTAGCAGCGTACAGAAGCTCTCCAGAGATGCTCCATAACGTCCTTATTAGTTTTTTCATGTGATGCTCCCCCATTGTAGTTCTGGCCTTTAATTGGAGGACGTACGCAAATTCTATTAAGTTATTTTTACCTTCATTTGTTTACAGAACTCTGAATTACATTTCTACCCAAATAAAAGCCAGAGTTTTTCATAACTGTATCTTCTTGTAGAGAAGAAATAAATACATAATTCTGTATATTATGGAGCTTTCCTAGAATTTGTGTCATATGTTGTGTAGCGCCAACGATGGGTCTTCTAAGTAGCTGGGGCTTTGGTGTTGTCCCATTTCCCAGACTGTTTAGTCCTTCTCAAGTAGAGGCTCTTATGATGACCCTAAAACATAATAGGAATGAGCTAGAAAGAGACAAGGCAGGGCACTGGGGCCAGCGGGGCCAGGCTGGGGAGGAGTAAAGTGATGACGGGTTTTGATGTTATAGGCTTTAATATCTGTTCTTACATATTAGCTAGTGCTTCGACCACGTTCACTACATGCTTAACACCACTTCATGCTGTGCTTTTCTGGGTTCGTAGGAATATTCTGAGAGCACTGTAAGTCTCCTTTCCCATCCGTGAACATATTTAATAGCGAACTGTGTTGAGTGTATGAGGAAGCCAATGACAGATGCCCAGCAGGAAAAACATCGGTGGGATGCCACTATAATTGTTAATCGTCCCATATACATAGCTTGTCTTGCATCTCAGAAATTCGTACTTATTCCTCTCCTCTCTTCCTGTCCTATTACCTGTTTCCCCCTTTCTGTTAGTAGTGTGAGGGGAGGTTGTTTTTTTTTTTTTTTTTTTTTTTTTTTTTTTTTTTTTTTTTTTTTTATCAGTATGGCTGCCATCAACTCCATGGCTTGCATAGTTATTTTTCCTAGCCTCTTTTCCAAAACTTGTTTGTCCCCACACTGGCTCTTCATGGGAAGACGGGTCTGAAAAAAAAAAGAGGTATTCTTCCACTTCATCCAGAAAAGACTATCAAAGACTTGCTATGGAACATTCTGGAAATAGAAAGTTAAAAGGTCACACTTTGTATACCTTTATCGTATTAGCGAGCAACCCAGATTAAAAATAACAAAATGAACTGAAGCAAATGCCGCAGTAACGATGTCTGTGAAGTTCTCCAAGATCACAGACACCTAGCTGGTGGAGAAATTGAGGGAGGCTTCGAACATGCAGAGCAGCAGATCTGAGAATGAGGTGAGAGGTGAGAGAAAGTACATATACCTGACAGCTGACAGACTGTATACTCCATGCAGAGACAAGGGGTGCAGGCATCAAAGGCCATTAGCAGGTAATTAAAGCTCAGTGAACGAGTGACAGAAAGCAAGACTGAAGCAGCAGGGTGGGAGGGAAAAGCCTGTGGATGCCATGGTTTAACTGATAAGAGGCCACTGGGTGATAGATATCAGTGCCATCTCCAATGCAGAGTAAAGGTTGATGTCTTCCTGGGTCAGGGGATAGTGTGAGCAGACCGGGCACCATGATGCCAAGCAAAAGATGAAAAGGCAGTGCCAGGACAAGGGAGTAGGGCAGAGCACTGAAGGCATATTTAAGAAGAAAAGCAAGTGCTCTTATAACTACCAGTTGAATTGGAGGAAAAGGAAGTCTTCCTAGAAATTGAAATTTGATGGTATTTTTGGTTTAAAGAAGCAATGTTGGGAATACTCGGGTGGACCTGCCTTTATAGTTTATTTGTGTGATGAAATATGATTTGAAAAGATAAATAGACTTTTATCCTCCGTATTACTTCAAATAAAGTCGAAAAAGATGAAGAGTTACAGAGTTTGCTCCAACAAATGAAGTTATTATCATATGTATCTAGACCTTTGGTCTAGTTAAATGTCTTGTCATGTAATTAATACAATTGAGACATGATCTAGAAAATTTGTTTTGACTTCTACACAGTATAGATCCAGAAACAATAAGTTAAGTTGCACTCACATTTATGAAAGCAAAAACCTCAGATTATATAATCAAGGGAAAAAGTGTCAGGTCTTTTCCCATGAACGTACAAGGCTGTCAAGCTGCTTTATATGATGTCAATTTTCAAAATCTGTCTACAAAAAATTTATAGCATATTCCAGGCATTCCCTAAAACCAGATCTCCCAGGATTAGCATTCTGACCTACCAGTGATGCACAGAAAAAAATGACTTCAAATCTTGGTATATTTGATTCCCTATCTGTTAAAAAAAAAAAAAAAAAAAAAAAAACCACCACCTACTTCCTGGGGCACTTGAAAGTATTGTGTAGATGATTAAATGTAAAATCTTGTAGTATTATTTATTACCAACTTTCTGTCCATTATGATTGCCAATGCGGCAGAAAAGTCGTCTTTTGGCATGAGAGGCTGTTGTGAAGGAGAAAACAGAGCAAACTCTGTTGTAGTCATTGTTTTCAGTTCACATGCGCTTCATTGAACTTGAGAGAAGTCATCTGAGTTGAAATGGATGTGGTGTGGGACAGTCCCCACCCAGGTTTCATTTTGAGTGTTAGATGTGTGCAAATATGAAAATTCAGTGTAAAACCTAAAGCAAAACTGCCACACTTTAGGCTACTCATTTCAGAACCAATTAGCATATTCAATTTGTGGGGCAACCCCACCGACTGCCTTTACTGCTTTTTTGGCAAATTTTACAACATTTTTTTTCCTGCCAATATTTTTCATTTGGTGTCTAGGCCTGTGATGTATTTCTTCTTTGGTTCACACGTGGACTACATTGTCGTTTTGTAGCTTGTTTTTGTTCTGGGAACAGACTCTTGGTACGAACCCCAGGCTAACCTCCAACTTAATGGCAGTTCTCCTGCCTCAGCTTCCCAAGTGTTGGGTTTACAGGCATGAGCCACCATGTCCAGCATGCAATTATTTTGTTATGGTAGTAAGTGCTTATGAATTTACTCCTGAAAACACAAGGTCATAATCTACATCCCAATGCGTGTTTCCTCAGCACACCAATGCCGTTATTTTAGCCTCCTGCCTCCTGGCTCCCTTAGCTGAGTTCTGTGGTCATCTTGGCTTTTTTTTTAATCCTTTGATTTAACATATTTTGATTTTTCTTCCAAGTTATTTTTACAGTTGTTAAAAGATCACATACTATCTTATGTAATGTTTTGGGAGAAATTTTCCTCTCAATAATATCATAAACAGTATCAGTGTTTAATGCCCATATTTCTAATTCTCACCTTGCCTTTCTTTTTTCAAGCTGGCATGCAGCAGTTAGAGAATTCCTATTATTCAAAGCCAGAGGGTGCCTTATTAAATGTAGATTAAAGTTTAACTTCTTCTGATCAAGCCACTAGGTTACCCAAACATTGATTGTTGATTTTTTTTTTAAATGGCTGAGCAAAGAAACCATTTTGATGATCTTTTTCATTTCAAGATCAACAACAGGAATTGATAATCAATAAGTCGTGTGAAGTGTACTTTCATTTCACCTTTGCTATAAAATTTTTACTGTTCGTCAGCAGGATCCCCCTGGTAGATTAGAATGCATTGGTTTTCACAAAGTAGGTCCATCCTCTACAAATAATAGGCTCTAGGGGAATCATTTTACAGTGTATGCTGAATGAAGAAAGAGCACCTAAGAGATGGAACTTTCTGGTCTTCCTCTGAGCACTAATGTTAATCATCCTATCCGATCTGTGTGGAATGTTACCCTCTTCTTAGTTAAACATCCTGGACAGGATTCTTACTGAAAAGCAACTTTTGTGAATCACTTGTCTATCCTGGTAATGTCCATACTGAAGCCAACAGCAGCTGAGACAGGTATGATGAATGGAACCCATCCAATGACGTAGGACAGTAGTTCAGCGAGCCAGTGTGACAGTGTGGAAATGGGTTCCTATATCCTGTGGAAGGGCCGTTTTTAGAATAAACTACAATCTTAAAGCTCGAACAGTTTACTGTGTACAGACAAGTGCAGAACCCGACCTCCTGCATGAAGGATCTTGTGCAGGTGGTTATGCTGCCAAGAAGGCTAGCACCTCACCAAATAGAAAATCATCGGCCTCAGGAAAGCATGTGGGGGAAGAGTCACCAAGTACCCTGCTGCTGCTAAGCCTTTCTCCAAAACAAGGTGACATATGTAAATTACTTTAGAAAAATAAAGTTGAAAAGTCTTGAGAATAGTGCAGTCTAAAGTATTATCAATTTTGATCTACACTAAACAGACTTCAGAGGAATAAAATGAGAAAAAAAATCAGATGAACATGTTGATCACCAGTAGTGGCAACTGTTTATATCACTGATCTGAGAGATAGTCATAAAAATAAACTGTGTGTGTGATATTAAAGAATAGTCTTTAATACTGTGCGTTTTACTTCCTTTTATTTGAGTAGACAAACTTATCTTATATAACATGTATTAAGATAGCATACTTATCTGTGTCTCTCAAATGTTGGAGAAATCACCAGATTGCCTTTGTATACGGTTTTATGTAGTACCGCCTATGGAAGATTGTAAGGAACAAGAGCCTATTATGGACAACAATATTTCTCTGGTGCCTTTTGAGAGACCTGCTGTCATAGAGAAGCTCACGGCAAATATGGGAAAGCGCAAAAGCTCCACTCCACAGAAGTTTGTGGGTAAGCAGCACAGATGGACGATGGATGATGCCACACCTGGTGACCATGATGGAAAAAAAAGCATGATTCCATGTGTTAGACATATGAGTGGTGTGTCCGTGATATGAGAAAGTATCCATGTCCTTGCTCCATCATTCTCTTCCATTCTATGACACGCATACACCACACACACACACACACACACACACACACACACACACACACACACACAGCCTTAGGCACATGGCAAAGGATTAAAGGATATTTACTAGATAGTAAGCACCATGTCAACATGCAATGATATATAAAGTGAGATTATACGGTAAAGCTAGCATGTTATTTTAATTCATACTGAATCAGAGATGAGATCTAAAGTACCGCTCACATTTGTGGTATCTTTTCATTTTTATTAGTGTCAGCTTTTGTGGCTGTCTAGTTTCTGATATTAATTCTCTGAGTATTTGATCTAGAATTAAAAGGCACTTTAAGTGTTCCCCAACTTTGTCTTCAAAAAAATAATGTAGCAGTGTCCATCTAAAATGTTTCTTACGTGGATCTGTGTTGTGTGTTTTGATCCTCATTTTTCATCCAGCCTATGATTTTTTTATCTGAAAAGATGAAGAATCATGTGTGTAGACTTCACCTTTCATTTCCAAGTATTTAGCTGTTCTGTGGTATGTCCAGTGTTGGCGTCACTCTTCATCTATGCTGCATGTTCTAGGCCACCTCTGAGGACAGAGGGTCTTGCACTTTTTAAAGGATGTATGAATCAGAGAGTTTCAGTAGAAAAAATTCTTAAAGAACCATCATTTCTCATATATGTAATATCTCTTTTCTTATAGTGATATGGTTAAAAGAAGAGGTAAAACTATTAAAACAGGTTCTCACATTCTACTACCAGAGAACTTGGTAGGATACCCTTACTAAGCAGTGGCTAAAAACTAGCCTTTTCCTTGGTTATTCAAGGAGGCTATGAGAATTCTGTTGCTCCAGTAAAACCTTTAGAAGGCTTCTTTTGAATTTGAAGTAGAGAACTAGCAAATCACTTGTCACATTAAGACCAACTGAAGGGATTTAGTGAGCACCCATAGGGCAGGCTAATGGATGAGCCCAAGAGCTATGCTTTATATGAAGTTCAACACCCTAGACTGTGCTCAGTGACCCAGGGTGGCAGCTTTCCTTCCTGTTCCTTTTTTTTTTTCTTGGTTTTTCGAGACAAGGTTTCTCTGTGTAGTTTTGGTACCTGTCCTGGGTCTCGCTCTGTAGACCAGGCTGGCCTCGAACTCACAGAGATCCACCTGGCTCTGCCTCCGAAGTGCTGGGATTAAAGGCGTGTGCCACCGCCACCCAGCCTTCCTGTTCCTTTTTAAAGGTGTCTGTGAACAGAAGAGAGGTGGCAGTTCATTTATTTATTTTGTCTTATATTTTATTTAGGTTTCATCTAGGTACTTGTTTTTTTTTTTTTTTTAGACCATGTCTCACTCTTGACTGCACTCAAGTTCACAGCAATCCCTCTGCCTCTGCCTGCTATGTGCTAGTGTTGCAAGCATGAAATACCATGTCTAGCTCTTCATTTAGTTTAAAAAATGATTAGTTTGTGAGATAAATATTCAAGTCTAACTGACTACTAATGTAGTCGGAAAGTACAGTTTACTATTATTTCTAACTTTCAAATTTATTCCGTCACAGTTTGTGTTCCCCTTGACTCAGAAATACGACCTTCTTTTGTTTTGTTTTTTTTGAGACAGGATTTCTTTTAGCCCTTTGCTACCTGGAACTTGCTGTGTAGATCAGGATGGTCCTGAATTCAGAGATCCCCCTTCCTCTGCCTTCCAAGTGCTGGGGTTCCTCAAAAGAGGATTTTATAAAACTACAATGTTATAAAAATACATTTTTAATATATATTTTAAAAAAATAAAATTTTTTTTTTATTTAAACTTGATGGTTTTTCTTAATTTGGAATACATTCTGGTAATATACAGCAAACAGTAGCTACATCAATTGAGTAACTCTTTCTATGATTTCTCTTAAAATGGAAATTTTCATCATTCCAAACTTAGCAGGAACCCTTTTCACATGCCCCTCAGTTAAACACGGCTGTTTGACCTACTGCATTCTCCGGCAGTGATTCCTGAAGTTATGCTTGTCTGTCTGTCTCTTCTACCCTTCTTTATGCAGCTTAGATTTCACACTTCATCCCTTTTACCACTGTCCTGCCAGTATTCTTGACTCTCTTGCCTGGTTGTCCTACTTCTCCTAGTGACATCTCACTGTCCCATGAGTCAGACTCAGCATCATTTCCACACTCTGTCTCAGCTACCAGTAAGTGTTTCTGGTGAAGTTCCTACAGCTTTGTGAATGACTGCCACCACAGGTAAATGTGTAATTGATCTGAAATGCCAGACTGCCCAACCAAAGCATGGGGTGACATTGCTTTAATATATCCCTGGATAGTCTTCTCTCCTGCTCTCCATCATGGCCATTTTCCACATGGCTCTACTCTCTACACACTTGGCATGTCTGTCCTTGGAGATCTTCTATCTATAGTCTCAGGGAGCAAATGAGATGCTTTCATTACGCTATCCCCAGTGCTGTAGGGCTGTGGGCATCCATGTAAACACTTCATGTCCTTTCCTTCTTACAGTGGAAGAAGCATCCCTCTTTTTGATTCAGATGACTTCCTGGGGTTTGTGCTCCTGAATTCTCTGTCCTGTCCTCACACTGTTTCCATCTTTCTCCCTTTCCTATCTGCACTTCATAAGAAATTCTGTTAAGTTCCGCCAAAACCTCCGCTCAGCCCCAAGGCTCCATCTGTATACTAGAACCTGCTTTCTCCTCTCCAAAGATGGATTCCCAGTGCCTCCTTCCCATGCTTTCCTTCCTTCTAGTCATTTTCCAGTGCATGCAACCTCAACCTGGCTTTCTAGCTTAGGCTACCCTGAAAGTATTCTCTTAGAGACTACAATCTATTTGCATGATTCTGAACCCAGTGAGCTCTTTTTAGACAGTGTCCTACACACACATCCTAAAGAACATCTGCCACTAATGAAATCTTAAATCCTTCTGAAAAACACTCTTCCCTTGGTTTCTATGTCATTTCTCTCTCTCCTTTTCTTCCAGCTTCTCTGTTCCTCCTCACAAAACCGTACACATGTATAGAATTCTGAAGAGCCTCCCACTCGATCTTGGGAGTAAGAACATAATTGCTCCATGGAAGACCTATTCTTGTTTCTTTTCGTTTTCACAACCTCTGTCTGTCTGTCTGTCTGTCTGTCTGTCTGTCTGTCTCTCTCTCTCTCTCTCTCTCTCTCTCTCTCTCTCTCTCTCTCTCTCACACACACACACACACACACACACACACACACACACACACACACACATATGCATTCATAGGTACCCCTACCTGTCCATATAAGTTCCACGGAGACAAACAGATGCTTTCTAAGGATTGGCCTAGGCACATGCTTTCCAGTAGCAAAGGAGGTACAGACCTGGAAACACACTCAGAAACTGCTATTGAAGAATTTCTGGGGTCCTTGTACAGCAAAAAGTGAAGCCTTCATTCTCTGGCATTATAAAATCCTCATTCTATGAGGAGCAGGGCCAGAGGCCTTCTAGATACGCTCTGAAGTGTAAGAATCCAGCTTGGCTCTGTCTGTTGACTTAAAAGAATTTTCCAAACACTCTTCTTGACCTTTTCTTCAGTTTACCCTTGGCAGAGTGATTCTATCAGCTGCCGTGCTTCTAGAGTTGCCCTCTATCACCTGAGGCCATCCTGTCTGCGTCTTACACCCGGATACCTCTTCTGAGGACTTACCAGATATACCTGTTACACATATTGATCCTCAAACCGAAGCGATCCCTTTTTCTATCTCGCTGTCATCCACTCCATTTTCCAAGACTGAAAACTCAGCTTCACGCTTCCCTTCTGCATGATCTCTGTCCAGATAAACACAAAGGCCTGGTAACAGTATTCGTGAAATCGCCGTCCATTCCATTAACCCTTCTCCGTCGGTACCACCACTACACTACCCCAAGCCTCTGACTACAGCAAAATTCAGAATCCTCTTGTTAAAGGAGTATCATATCAGATCATGCTCGCTGTTTAAATACTGCAAGCTGCAGCGCTCTCGGGATAAAATCCCTCCCTCTCCTGCTGTGTGCCATGTTTTCTGACTCCTTTTAGTCATCTGTTTCCACTTTCAGCCATGTTGAAATGCAATTGCTTATTTCTAAGTCATCCCCTCGTACTTCTAAGCCTTCCTGCTTCTTTACTAGCCAGTGTTTGCTGTCCCACTCTCCACCCTAAGGTCTTTCAAGAAGTCTTCCTTTACCCGTCTTATACAAGTTAAATCTACCTCTTGTTTGAGGATAAAATACATTCTAAGCTCCCCGTCTCTAAATTCTAAGCTCTTTGAGAACATGGGTCAGATTTATCTAGCTTAACTTTGAAATTTTTTACAGTTTAATATCATTTTGTTGTTTGTTTGTTTTTGCTTTTTGGTTGGTTTGTTGTTGTTTTGTTTTGTTTTTCTGAAACAGGGTTTCTTTATGCCCTGGTTGTCTTGGAATTCTGTAGAGTCTATAGTCTAGACCAGGCTGGCCTTTAACTCAGTGATCCCTCTGCTTCTGTCTCCTGAATGCTGGGATTAATGGTGTCTGCCACCACACCTGGCTTAAATTGGGTGTCAGGAGGTGATTTTTTTTTTCTTCAATTGTTTTTATTACTCCATCATTACCTCAATCAACTTTTAGGCTATTTCTTTTAGTTTAGTTTTGTTTTTTGATACAGGGTTTCTCTGTGTAGGCCTGACCATCCTGGAACTCACTCTGTAGACCAGGTTGGCCTCAAATTTAGCAATCCACCTGCCTCTGTCTCCCAAGAGCTGGGATTAAAAGCGTGAGCCACCACCACTTGGCAAGGCTGTTTCTCCAAATCTGAAATAATCCTAAAGTCTTAATGCTGCCTCTTCTAGCATCATGTGAATCTATCCTCACTAGAGATTAGGCTTCTACACACAACATACCATGACATACAACCACATACTGTTTTAAGAAGCTTTATCTGTAAGTTTTCCTTGTCAAAGTAACTAGGTAGACATTGCATAGTTTTAATGGCAGAGCTGTTGAAAGATGAACCTACTCTGCCAAATAGGAATATTGCTTTTTTTTTTCTATTTGAAGCCCCCAAGCTGCTTTATGGTTAATATTCAGACTTTGTATTGAAATAAAATTACTGGGGAAGATTTTAATTTTTTTTTTTAATTTTTTTTTCCAAGACAGGGTTTCTCCATGTAGTTTTGGTGCCTGTCCTGGATCTCACTCTATAGACCAGGCTGGCCTCGAACTCACAGAGATCTGCCTGGCTCTGCCTCCCGCGTGCTGAGATTAAAGGCGTGTGCCATATTAAAGGAGAAACAATATAGTTCAAACAAGAAAAAGCAGGGGCATTAACAACAGGCATACAAGTTATCATTGTCACACATCTGAACATATCTGGTGTAAAAGTCAAAAGTTACCATTTCCAAGAAACTGAAATACTTTTCAACTTTGTGAGCAAGTATTTTTTTGAAGTAATCCTTGATACATTATTAAGTAGCTTTCAATTCCATTTCTTATATCAGGCGATGCATCTTTCAAACCATTTAAATAATAATTGTTTACATTTTCCTGCCTGATCTCTATTGACTCTATAGCTTTTCTTTCCTACAGTAGTAGTTAAATTAGCGAAATTATCCCTGCTCGAGAGGGAAGCGGGGGTAGACAGCATGGGCCATAAGCAGATTCCATATGCTCGCCTGGTCTTGGTAGCCCATTCACTGTGTTGGAGATATGCAGGAATGGGCACAGGTTCTGATTTATTTTCACCGGGCATTTATTCTTTCTCCTGTGATCCTGAGCACCTTGCAAATGAACATTTTAATAAAAATTAAAAATAAGATAAAAAGCTTTCAGGCTGGCTGCATTTCTGTGATGGCATTAAAGCCAGTGCAGATGGCTTGTGACAAATGCCTTTGGCATGGTCACAGTCCCTGGGCATCTCGGCAGAATTAAAAGAGCCCAAACACTTGACCTGAAGAGTAAAATAGCACCATTTGTGTAAAATGGAGGAAATGTTTGGTTAACTTTGTACGTTTTTCTATTTTTAATCCAACCACTAATTATTTTGTTCTGTTTCTCTTTCTTTTCTCTTCCTCCTCCTCCTCCTCCTCCTCCTTTTTTTTTTTTTTTAATTTTAGGGGAAAAGCTGATGCGATTCAGCTACCCAGATATTCATTTTGATATGAACTTAACGTATGAGAAGGAGGCTGAGCTGATGCAGTCTCATATGATGGACCAAGCCATCAATAATGCCATCACCTACCTTGGAGCTGAGGCCCTTCACCCTCTGATGCAGCACGCACCAAGCACAATCGCCGAGGTGGCCCCAGTGATAAGCTCAGCTTATTCTCAGGTCTATCATCCGAACAGGATAGAGAGACCCATGAGCAGGGAAACGTCCGACAGTCACGAAAACAACATGGATGGCCCCATCTCTCTCATCAGACCAAAGAGTCGACCCCAGGAAAGAGAGGCCTCTCCCAGCAATAGCTGCCTCGATTCTACTGACTCAGAAAGCAGCCATGATGACCACCAATCCTACCAAGGAAACCCTGCCTTAAATCCCAAGAGGAAACAAAGCCCAGCTTACATGAAGGAGGATGTCAAGGCTTTGGATGCTACCAAGGCCACCAAGGGCTCTCTGAAGGACATCTATAAGGTTTTCAATGGAGAAGGAGAACAGATAAGGGCCTTCAAGTGTGAGCACTGCCGAGTCCTTTTCCTAGACCATGTCATGTACACCATTCACATGGGTTGCCATGGCTACCGGGACCCACTGGAATGCAACATCTGTGGCTACAGAAGCCAGGACCGTTACGAGTTTTCATCACACATTGTTCGAGGGGAGCACACATTCCACTAGGCCTTTTCATTCCAAAGGGGACCCCTATGAAGAACTGCACATGAAGAAATACTGCACTTACAATCCCACTTTCCCTCAGATGGTGACATACTTTCTTCTTAATACTGTCACTGTCTATGATTCTTACTTTGTGGACAAAATGTCATTTGCTCTGCCTAATTATAAAAAAAGAAATAAGAGAAAAGGGATGGGATGTTCACTGATAACTTGGCTTGTTTATTTTGTGGGTGTAAAGCAGTTGATTTCTGCCATGCATCCATATTAAGGCCTGTCATGCTTTGGGAAATCATTTGTTTCATAGAGATTCACCTAAAATATTCTGATTTGCCATTGATGTTCAGGATTGTGATGGAAGGCAGGAAACTTGAGAGTTTTCTGGGTAGGACTTGGGCAATTTAAAACGGTCTAAGTAATTTTCCTCTCAAAGGTGTTTCAAAATGTAAACCCATTTTATTTTCTGTTCTTAGAGATCAAGGAACACAAACACATTATTATTTTCAATAACTCCTAGGATGAGTTGAATTGTTGTGGGTTCTACGTTTACCTCCCCTACGGAATTTATAATTCAGTATGTTTTACACTGTATCATATAGTAAAACTTTTAAACTACAGGTAGTTAAGGGCCACTACGATACATCTGAGGTCCTTTGATCTTATTTTTCTAAACTTGCGCACTGTTTTTCCATAGTTTTGATGACTGGCATTTTATAGACACCCTGGCAGCCTTACTTTTAACACCTGTGACAAATGGTATTTTTATGCAGTTTTCAGAAAAGCATGTGGTCTAAGAGTGGGTAAGAGGCAGTCGGTAATTTCCAGGAAGAATTCTGCTTTTCACAATTTGAGATTTTTTTTTTTAAAAAGTTGTGTTGTGATGGCAGCCTAGTATACATATTTGTTTCTAAAGGTGTGTTTACGATCGTCACTTTATCAGCATTTAAACAGTGTTAAGCAGTCAGCAGAAAAGTGTAATTAGGCTAACAGGAGGGGGAAAATCCCACTCTGAGAACCCTTTTCTGATATTTTTCTTCAAGCTGTGACCACTCAGTGTTCTGTCCATAGTCCATTCCTCTTTGACTCTTGGAATAGAAGGTCTTAAGAAGCCTGGCTATCGGCTGCTTCTTTCAAAATCTTGGAGCAACTGCTAATTGGACCTGAATGTGGTCATTTGAACCCTGGAAGGTCATTCATTAATGAGGGCTATTTATTCCACTGCTTCTTCAGTAATAACAGTTACTACCTTTGCTGCAGACGGAAGGGAACTTCTTTGCAACCCGAAGATCACACTGCAGGTCCAACAAAAGAGCAACAAAGTTTTCTTTTACCCTTCTTGGAGTTGAAAATGTGACAGTCTTCAGGTGAAGGACCTGCACTTTAAAAAAAAAAAAAAAATTTAAAAAAAAAATCAGTTCTGTTAAGTTCTTGTCAGAAATGAATCTCAATCCATTGGTAGATAATTTTCTGTCTTCTCTTTGTTTGCACCAGGCATATACTTCCATATTTCATGTGCAGGTTTCAAGTTGATCTCTGTGGGGGCTTGGCTTCTTCTCTGGAGAGTCCACTGGCATTTGTGGGTGGGACTGGAGCACACTATTCTCAAGTCATTTGGCGGAATGCTTTTGGCAGACATAACTTGCTGCTTGTGTTTGAGGAAAACAGGCCTGACCATGACTGGATTCTCTGACTGCCATTTGTAAAGGCTGAAGGTCTGCTAAACAGTGACAAATAACTGCTCCGAGGGCCTCCCTTAGAACAGGATGCTGAAACCATGTAACTGCAGAGTGACGCGGACAGTGTCAAGACTTGAGAACTACCCACTGATGAGCGGTGTTCTCTCAACTCGCTTTGCAGATTTCCATCTGTTCACTTACGGAGCTTCTTAGCTCTAACATAGCTAGAAAAAGTTCTGACTGACCTCTTTTGCTAATCCTTAGCTTAGTTATTTCTGGAGAAATGTCCAACTGGTTCCTTTACATGTAAGAAAATGCACCCAAACAGAGATAAAGCGAACGCCAGCGGTGGGGTTTTCCATTTTTTGATTTTTTTTTTTTTCATCCCTTGGTAATTTGTGAAAACACAGTTTACTCAGGGATAAAGCGTCTAGTCAAGACTCCCTTACCCCCACCTACCCGGCACACTCTCAAATCATGAGGGAAATGGCATTTATGTTTGAATGAGGTAAATAGTGTTAAGGCTCATGATTTTGTGTTTTAAAACTGCAATTTAACAAAGCATTTGGATGCCTGTCAATGTGTTCATAATTTGGGCTGTCTGAATTTCTGCTGGCATCCTTCATCAATTTTCTTCATTCTCTCTCCTCATACCTACTGTATTAACGATCATGTATCTCCCTGCACTAGGATTAAACTGAGTTTAGGTGTACCTAAAGATTTGTGTACTCCCCCTATGAAGATGGTACTAACATACTCTCTACCTTTCCAATTCCATCTTGTTGGAAAACCTGATTTATTTAAGGGAGTTAGCTGTGACGGTAAATTTGCTGGACATATACACTAGCTTTTTTTTTTTTTTGTAAGATGCATAACACAAAGGACAGAAAAAGACATGGATGGCTCAGGTGTGACAGGGACAAAAGAGATCAAGGTGAATTCAACATTTGTGGGTTACAGTGAATTTTGTGGACAGAGGGCCGTCTGAAGGACTCTCGACTTTTCACCAAAGACTATAGGTGATGTGTAGCACCTAACACTAAGTGGGAGGGCCAGATACCAAATAAATCAAATTTGCATAACAGTTACAAGCCCAGTTGGTTTAGGTGAGATTTTACAATTGAGAGCATATTTGAGGGGGATGAAAATGGGTTATCCTCTGTGTTTTCCAGTTGGGCAGAAATTTATGAGATGACTCTGTCCTAATTTTGCACAGAATTTTTTTTTGTCCCCAGTTCTTTCTGGAGAAACACGCTGTCTCTCTGTAACAGTGATGAATTGCTGTCACAGAGGCTTTCTAGAACAGTGGTCGGCACTGTGAACAGATAGAGGCATGAAACAGTCATTCCAACATTCCGTTTAGAATTTTCTGAATCAAATGGGGAAAAATGAGGGCTGATATTTAGGATGAAGTAACCTGGCTGGCTGGTGTACATACACGTGACTGTTGGAATACATTACAGTTTGCAGGCCATGTGTATTGCACATTCTTTGAATGAGGAGTCACGAAAAGAAGCAGATAGCATCCCCCAGATGTGTTCCAAACCTTAGAGTTAAAAGTACAGTTAGTACATCAGCACTTAGGTCGACTTTACCAGGTTGTACTAAGAAATCCCAAAGTTGTCAGTGTATCTTTAGGGCTAGTGGCAACTTCTATCCTAAGGTCCATTGTCTACATCCAGGGAGGAAAAAAAATTAAAAGATATTAAGTTGACTGGTGAAATATTAAAGAAATATAGCTTCTTTTTTTTTGAGAGGAAGAAAAGGCAGGAAATGATTTAGCAACTTTGTCTTGTATTTGTGCTTTTTGTGGCACAGTTACACATCTCACAAGACCTTGACTTTTGTGTGTTTCATATTTTGACTTTGTGTTTTCCAAGTCTTACTTCATCTTATCTCCAAAATGGTAAGTTATGGTAGAAAGATTAGCAGAGGAGGTGATACTAGACCAGGAAAGCTGCCTGCCCTTAGATTCAGGAATATCAAGGATACCTGGCTACACCGTTTTTTCAGCCTGGAATTATTCATTTATAATAAAATTGTGGGTTTGTGGTCATCTTCTGTTGTATTTCACGTGTTATTTTAACAAGGACTGCCTGTATGTATTCTACAGTAAAAGCTCCCCATATTCAAAAGGGAAAAAAAGCAAGGGGTAAATTTAAGCTTTGTATATATAAAAGTTATTTTATAAATATTTTAGTCTTCCAGTTTCTGCAAAATAATTAAAATATACAGTAACTGGTCTCTTAAATCCTGAATTTAATGTATTAAATACTTATAAAATTTTATATTGGTGCCTTTTAAAAATGCATTGAGAGCGTTGGTTAGCTGTTTTAGCTGTACCACACTTTTACTGTGTATTTTTTAAAAAAAAAATCACATGAAATTTAAGTACTCTCTAATTCACCTTTGTGTTCTTAGCAAAAATAATAATGATAATAATAATAACTGCTAAAAGAATTTCCAGACTTTCAGCTGAGCTGGCAAAAGTGACAGGAAACTTTGAAACCAGATTTTAATCTTTTTAGCTTAATAATATTTCTGAACGCCGTTATATGATAGAGGAAAATAGAAGGCAGAGTCATGTCAGCAGCAAACTGAATTATGCTGTGTGTTTTGCTTTTATTCTTGAGGACGAATATGTTTTGCGTCACACAGGGTTTCTTCATAGAATTTGGAGTCAATAATTACAGTATTGTTTTGCATTTCCTTTTCTACCTGACTGGTGTTGCTCTAGTCCTGGATCCTCTCTGTCTTCTCACCAGTGGTGGTTTTGTGAAATGATGTGGAAATGCAGATCATTGTTTCCCTTGAACAAAACAAAACTCAGCAGTCACATCACATTGCTCGTCTCCAAAGAGTCCTCTCGGATATTTCGTACGGGGATTGCCTGTCACTTGTGAGGGTGTCTTCAACTATGACAGCTTTTTAAAAATGAGCTACTGGTTGTATAAAGTCGACATCACATGACCAAGAAGCTGTGATGTGCTAGTGTTTCCTTCTGTCATAGTGTACTCTTAGGCCAAATTAATGACACCTTGAATATTTTTACATTTATTACAAAAACCTAAAATTTTGGAATTTCCGCAAGGTTTTTAATGTAACCTATTTCTAGGGGTTTTGTTTTCTCTTGCTGTACTGTGAGTTTGTGGGTATTTTTTCATATGCACTCTTGGAAATGAGTTCTTAATTCTATTTATGATGTCTTTCTCCCACAGTACTCCATTTGTATATGTTCTGTACAAATTTGTCATAAATTCACCTTTATCCCATATAGACAGTGGTACCTAAACAACTAGTTTCCCAAGATGACTTTTATATTATGAATTAATATGGAAATGTAGAGGTCATATGCTAAACCACGTTAAGGACAGGATAAAAACTTCTGGTAGGTACAAATAAGCCAGTTTGCAGTGAATCAGGCCTTCAGTTTACCTCACCTAACATATAACAAGGAAAGCTTGGACAGATGGAGGTCACTGAATCCCCTACTATGCACTTACTAGGTGATCGCTGAGTTTTATTTACTGGAAATGGATTTTAAAAGGAATACACTGTCACTGTAACCAGAGAAGGAATCTAGGGTTTGCTATTTTTGTTGTAGTTGTTTTGTTCTTTTTAAAAAGTTGTTCAAATTATGAAACTGTGATCTAAAAATAGTTTTGATGGTGGAGCACTTGAGATTTTGGACATCGATCACGTGCCCTTCTGTATGACAAAGTTGTGTTTTTACCTCTTCGGTTGTAACTTCCTCTCACACCTTTGTCTCCACACTGTTCATAGCTCTTCCTCCATTGTCTCTGGATTCTTGACACGCCTCATAGTTAGAAGAGGAGGTCAGCTCTGAACTTCTGATTCATTAAGTCTTAATTTTTTTCCGGTAGTTTTTCTTAGCTGTATAATCTGCTGGTGTGGTTTTTATACTCACGTGTAGTTCTATATTTTTAATGTGTGGTTGGGTTGAGATGGTAAGCTGTAGAGTCCTTTGCTTCATTCTCAAGTATGAGGCACCTAACATGGCCCCTGAGACTCCATAGTCAGAGGATATGTCTGGTTCCTTTATGCTTGGATTTTAAATTGTTTGGCTTTCTTCTAAAATACAAGTTATAAAGAATAGATATCTGCTCCCCTCTCCCCCCCTCCCGCCGCCCCGCAAAAAACGAAACAAAACAAACAACAACAAAAAACGCTTAGAAAGAGGATAAAAATGTAAAGCAAAGAGTCTTAACTTTCTTCCAATTAAGAGGATGAGTGCTTTAAAAGTTCTGCAGTAATATTCCAGGCTCGGGAGGGGTCTCGAGGCCCCATGCTTGCTGCAATAGTCCAGCCTTTTAGACTTTGTTATTTGCAGTTTCAGAAGGGTTACTTCTGCTATCCATAAAAGTGCAATACCCCTCTTGAAGTCTTAAAAACTATGGTAATTTTTTTCTTTTTCTGACATTTCTTCTTCAAAAAAGAACCGTTGGAAATTTAGCATGTCAAAGGACATAACAAACAAGGACGAAAACCACTCCACTATCAAAAGATTAGAAATTGTAGAAACAAACAGCTTTTCTGACTTCCTGGAAGCTTCCTTTAGCCTAAATAACCTTTGAAACCATGAGTGAGAAGTATATTCTGAAGCGGAAATCTGAACAGACTGGATTTTTCTTTTCTCCCACTCTTACCTAATGCTCTTAAGTTAAATAACTAATATTTAATGTTTTTATTTTTCTTCCTTTTGGAAAATAAATATCAAAGCACTTAGGTCAGGTTTCAATTCATATTACCTGTTGAAGAAAAAATTTTAAATATTTGAAGCAGACCTGTTTTCATGCAGATTGAGAAATATCTTTTGTATCATCCATATTTATATGTAGTTTGCTGTTTTCTTTTTTTTTAATACCTGTGTTCCCATAGTAAAACTGCTGTAATGTAAATACTTGTTTTGTTTAAAAGTAACATTTCTTTGGCATTTCTTTTTGAAGGCATTTACTGCATTTGTACAGTATGTGTCTTGGCTACTTAACTTTTTTTTTCTTTAACAATACCAAAGGTAATTAGACTATTTTAAGGACTAATTGCTTGACAGTTTCTAGAATACTTTGATTTTTTTTTTTAGAAGAAAAAAGAAAAAAAAATCAAACCAGTAAACCTCATTTTTTCAAACTAATAATTTGGGGAAATAAAAACTATTGTTTAAAAAGAAATATATATATAAATATCTGTAAAATTAAAATTCCAGACCTTGTATGTCAGGTTTGCTCAGTGTAATGTAGGGGGTTTTTTGTCTTTGTTGTTTTTTGTTTTGTTTTTTTTAAGGCTCAAATACCTCAGAAAATGGGGTTTACTGTGGAAATACCGCAACAGTCTGCAGCTGTGTGAGCTGGCACTCTGCTGCGTACTGATTGGGAGACCTCCACTGAACAGTTTTATCACTGCAGACTGAAATGTGGGACTTGCGTTTTCTTTGTTTTTAATGCACACACATCCACGCTCTGTGCGTGCGTGCGTGTGCGTGGGTCCTGTGTATCTGCGTGTGAGTGTTGTGTGTGCATGTGCGAATGTGTGTATGTGTGTGTGTACAACTCAAGAAGCTGCAGAAACTTTGTAATACTTTGTGAAAGGGTTATATTATAAAGGTTTGTACTGTCTGAGTGCACAGCTACTGGAGTAAACTTAGCCAATCTCAGGAACAAGCATATAATTTGTCCAAGATTTATTTCTTCTCAGAAGTGTAAGTGCAGTTTTTAATTCTGTATATTATTTAATATTTTACCAATAAAATAAACTTCTGACAGAAACTGTTGGTTATAAAAACTTTGTTGAGAATTCTGTACACGACTACATCCCTCCAGTCGCCGAAGACAGAACTGCTGTTGCACAGTGGCTTGGTCATGGCTGTTGTTTGTGTGTGTCTCAGTTCTGTTCCAGAGCTCTGATGTGTGTGATGTCATCGGCCCCCAATCTTAGATGTTAGCCGTGCCCCAGCACTCTGTAGCGTCTACTGTGGCAGAGAACAAGGTATCACATGCTTTGTCAAGGATGACATCTCAATGCTTTGGATAATTCTCCCACGTAATCCTCTTTTTAACCTTTAAAATTAATCTAAGATATCTCCATGTCTGAGTTGCACTGCTTGTTCTAAAGGACATCAGTCGTAAGGAGAGAAAAATGTGGCTTGCTCCAGATTACCACGGAGTAACACAAGTGGTTCATGCTTTGATCACTAATCATATCATAAACTGGCATTTCTTAGTAGTCAGAACAGAATGATAGTAATTAAAAATCATGGAGTAAGTGATAGATTGGCAATAGCATTGGAGTAGATTTGATTGCTAGCTCTGCTTTGTGTAGCTCTACCCCTCATACCTCAGATTTCATAAGGACTGTATCTTTTCCATGAGAAGATTGTTCTATTACAAAGACAATTCCCGAGTAGAATTCTAAAAGGGTCCAGATGACTGAAAATTTATTTTGCTTAGATTTAGCTATCTGCTTAGCTCTTGTGCCAATTTATAAAGTCCCACACACATTTGAGATAGCTGTTAAATTTTCATTGGTACATATTTACAGAATCTGTGGATATTTGCAATAGTTCTCCATAAATTCCCTTCCATATGTCACACGGAATGAGAAAGAGCACAAATTCAGATGAACACATATAACCTAGACCAGAGCATCTTTCAAAATAGAAGCCTATGGCTGGAGAGGGTGAATAGGAAATAGCAAGCAGAAGAAACTTAGCAAAGTACTACTAGTACTAGGGTTAGAAAGGGCTTTTCCCCATCAGAAATGTTAGACTCTGGTTTATCTATTAACAAGAGCCATTTTTTTTAATTGAACATCCCTTATGCTCTTGAATCTCGTTGAAATCCAGTCAGAAGTAAGATAGCATCTTGATATGCTAATACATTATCAACATGCTCAAGCCAAAGGCCCCATCTTGAGATCTTGAGGGACAAGTCACATGATGAAGCAATTTCATAGAGTGTTTTAACAATGTCCCTTCCTGATGTTTGTGCCCTGAGTGTCAACAAAACCCAAGTGTAGCCCCAAGGGAAGTTCCCAGTGTTCTTTTATTTTTTATTAATCTTAATTTGACAGGTGGGCTTTCACAATACCTAAGGGAGGTGTTTGCCTAAACTTTCTAATGGGCAAAAAGGAAATAAAGTCATTTGGAAGCCCACAAGCCATATACAATTGGATAAAGGTGAGGGCAAGTCCAAAGAGATGCTCGCTCTGAGAAAAATCAGCCTGCCAGCCTCATTTCTTCTTCCTGTGTCTTACACTCTTGGATGATATCTCCCATCAGACCAATGGCTTTTGGCTTCAGCTTTACCAGGCAAAATATAAGCCCCTCAAAATGGGAAAAACAGATACTGCCCAAACTGCTGTTGAGATGTTTATTCTAGAAACCCTCAAGAAGAGCTGTTTGAACATGACCTTCCATACCAACTGGGATGTCAATGAAGAAGCTGGATGTTTCAATACTCCAGGAAGATACAGAGGTAAAGTGTGGGGGTGGGGTGGGGTGGGGAGGGTAACGTAAGGGTATTTGGATTGGGGTCTGCTGCAGCTTAGGCGAGCCTACGATAGAGGAGGAGTGCTCTGCTCTGCATTGTCCTCTTACGTTAACAGATGATGCTGGAATCAGACTTAGCCAGCCCCACCAAGAACGCCTAGTGAACAGCTTAGTGGGGAAGTAGGGACTGGCAACAGTGTCCGTATAAAATGTCAGTGACCTAGACCCGAGTGTTGGTTCTGAGGATAAAATCCTAAAGGATTCTGATTCATGACGACTTTTTTTTTTTTAATGATGCCAAAGTCCCCAAATCCAATACTCTCTTTTTAAAATGAGCAGTGACTAACTCGGGATATGTGGTTTTGGGGGTCGTGAAGGTGGATGCATCCTGCCTTGGAAATGGGATATGCTTGGCAGGAAATGAGTGGCTGTCTTTCTTTTTTCTTTTCCTTTACTGTTTTCCCCCCTCTTTCCTCTTTGTTTCTCTGCATCAAACCTGTTTTTTTTTTTTTCTCTTTCCTCTCTCTTCCATAGAATCTGTCGCGATCATTTTCTGAGTGCTCTCCGTGACCCTGTCACAAGTTTGATTAACTGCTCTGAAATCCGGTCTATTTCAACAACGTGAATGATTTTGTGCAATTAGATATATGCAAGTGCTAACCAGATCCCTTCTGGTAAGTGCTTTACAAGTGAGCACAGTTACCGCTGGCTTCTCCTAAGTCCCTTTCACCTTGCTTGTGGAAACTATATACTGTCTACTAGTAACATTCATTTTCTTGGCAAGGAAACAGAGTTCGAATCAATTAGGGTTGGTTGATTTGTTCTTTTTATAAATATCCAAAATCAGTCACAAGACTAAAACTGACTCTAATTCTAGAAACATGCAGTATAGTATTTTGTGTCCTGAGCCAGTTTGTTCAGAATTTGATGGGTACACTCCCTTAATAAAGGGAAGGAACCAATGTTGCATAGTAGTAGCTAGCAAGATAATAATAATAATAATAATAATAATAATAATAATAACCAAGAGAAATAACTTAGTGTTCTACTCATTCTGATTTTTAAACAGAATAACCCCAGTTGAACTCACTGGCACAGTCAATGTGGTAAGGAGGGTTACTGAGAAATACAGTACTAAGTTGCAAAGAAAAAATAATCTGAAATTTAAATTTTACTAAAGAAGATTTTGAAATTTAAAATCTTGAAAGTTCTAAAATTATGTAATAGGTTTTCTAGCAGACCTTTTACTTAATTTTAATTAATGTGGGTTTTTTTTCTAATTGTCTTTGAAATTTCCTTCACAGTTGATGAAATTACTTATCACTGAGTCCCTGTCACCGAACTCATTTCTTTTATCATAGGACTTACATTTCAAGGCTTGGGCTTGACTGTCTTACTCCTTTCTAGTTAAAACCTTGAACCTAGCCTAGTAAGAATGTAGGGATTCACCAGAAGCTGTGGTCATGAGAATTAAATGTTGTAGCACTGTAGTTTGCTGCCTGGGCATTGTGGGTATTCCTCACAGGTGTTCAAACCTCTCTACCAAGTTATCATCTTGCTGTTAGTTTTAAAGCATAAAGTATCCTAACATCCACCTCCATCTGTTTGCATTACAAACCGAGTGATATATTTATCATGCAATTCAGCCTCCTGTTATCTCTTCCTAGGAATGAGACAAATACTGCCACTTGGACATTCCTGACTTTGATCTGGAAATCGCTGCAGTCTTCCAGAAGGGTTGCTAGAGCCACACCTACAACCATGTCTTCCTTGTCTTTTACAATCTTAGTAAGTAGCCTCATTTTTGGCCTTCAGAGAGTCTATTCTTTTTTTTTCCGACACCTCCCTGCACTGTTTACTTATTTATTTATTTATATCAGATTGTAATCTGCATGCATATTACTGTCGTTTGCTAATACTCAAAGGGAAGAGGGAAAAAACTGGGACACAGTATGAGTCATGTTTTTCCAGACACTCGGCCAAATTGCCTTTTGATCATCCCGACAAATGGTAGTTTGGTTATACCATAACACCAATGTATTTTCCAAGCTACAAGCATACGCCCAATGTTTTCTACTTTCTTCTTTAATGTTTTGACAAGCCTGGTTACAGCTGAGTAAAGGATAACTTGCTCATATAACAAGCATAAAAAGAAAAAATCTTCTACATGTATGAAGGGAAAAGAGCACCACTATACACATAGAAGAATTCAAGTCACTTTCCTAATAGAGAATGGATCATTGCCCAATTCTCTCTAAATAAACATGAGCTCCATAGAAATGTACCTGTTAAGTTTTTATTTTTAGTTGAGATTCTAATGTGCGTACGATATCATCCGTTTAAACTACAGCATGCTAGAAAACAAACTCTTTCTGCCTTAATTATACTAATTTATTTTACTTTGTAAAATATATTCAATATCTGCACAAAAGACTCACCACACTGGAGTGATATGTCTTAGTTTTAATAAATGCTCATTTTTGCTAATGTATTTTAATTCTTGCTAATTTATCCTGGTTCATATCTTCTTAGTTATAAAGAACACTAAAGAAATTAAATTGATAAAATGTGGTAACTTTGGCACTGTATAGAAATTCTCTAACATGTCATTTGGATTACCTTAATGATGTGGTTTATTTTTCTTTTTTCTTATGAGCAATCTGTCTTACGAATGTAAAGAAGTTCTGAATGGATACACCAGATTATTTTCCTATTGTATATGACTTAGGCAAATCATGGTACAAGTATCCTGTACAAATAAAACCACTTAAGAAACCCCCCAGCCGGGCGGTTGTGGCGCACGCCTTTAATTCCAGTTCTCGGGAGGCAGAGCCAGGTGGATCTCTATGAGATTGAGGCCAGCCTGGTCTACAGAGCGAGATCCAGGACAGGCACCAAAACTACACAGAGAAACCCTGTCTCAAAAAATCAAAAAAAAAAAAAAAAAAAAAAAAAAAAAAGAACCCCCCCCCCCCAATGAAGATAATGGACACATATTTTCCTTTCTGAAATTGTTTCATATTAATATTAACATACCTTGTTAGCCACATTTTCAACGTGTTCATAACTCAAGTAGGATAAGTAGTCACCATAAACACATTCATATGTAGCTCTGAGCAGTACTAGTGTCCCATGGCATTTTGACCAACTGAGTATCATATACCAGCAATGGCATTTTAGCATTCTGGCATTCTGCTGATGGACGGTGAGCACCACCCATAATTCACCAGCACAGGGTTAAGGCATAACTATCACCATTTATGCGTTTTCTGCTACTTCATTTAATTATGTAGACTGGGATGTCTGTTTACCGGCTGTTTGGTCTGCAGTTTTCTGTGGGCTGAGTTATATAAGTTATCCTTGTATTTCTCAGAAGCAAGTCCTTTTTCTATTTTTCTTATTTTTTAAGTCAGACTTATTTTCACTGTTTCGGGGACCATGTAAATCATAAATGCAATTGTTTAGGAGGATTGACCTAATACCTGTTTTTCTCCTCTAAAATTGCTTCAATCGATGAGCTCTGAATTAATTCCATTTATCTAGACTATTACTGCTGAACTCCATAATAAAAGTCATCTGTAGAAACAAGGACAGCTACATCATGAGCGTTCTGAGTGGCAGTAAGAATGAATGACTTAACCCACCTCATTTATCACAATGTACAAAACAGGCCTGATTTATATGTAACAGAACCGAACCTTGACACAGCAAGGCCTTTTCATACTCTACTGTACATAAAGTAGACCCATGATAAGTGTAAGTGTGAAAATCATCCTTGATCATCTGACTGCTAATACTGAACAGAGAGTATCTAGATATGAAACTACACATATTTTAAAACCTGAATTGAGTCTTAATTTTAATTTTAACCCACCTTTAAGCCTAAATTCAAGATGAATGGAATAAAATGAAATCATCCTTTGAAAACACCAGATTGCTGCTTTTTGAGAACCTCAAACAGGTTACTTGGTAAATGGTCCCAGGAGGATTTTAAAAAAAGAATGGGGAGTGGCATGTTTGCATTTTCATTCTAGGCCTCTAGCCTTCGGAACATTGTTTATCGTGGGATTTTCAGAAAGGTTAATTTGTATCCTGGGGAAATCTGAACAGGTAGCTATAGAGCTAGCTGTAGGGTCAGACTTTGAGGGAATAGAATGTTGAGATGACTTCATTCCCAACACTAAATTGTCCACTTGGAAAGTTGAAAAGACCATACATAAACTCTGCCTCTTTTCTTCCTCTACTCTTCTGTGTGATCAGTTCCCATCTGTGTCCACACTAGAAAACCATCTACGATGCTCATGACTGAAAAGGAAATTGGAAGCAAAGGAAACATATCTTCAGAGTCCAGATGGAGAGATGAGGATGGGCAGGGGTGAAGGAGGCTGAGACAATACGGTGGAAAACGCAGCATCACATTTAGAGAACCGGGTACCTAATAGAGTTTGGAAGACAAAAAGTCCAGTAGAGATGAGAGGAGAGACAAGTAGTACCAGGTAGGAGCTGTAAGAATCTGGACTCTTATCAGTAGAGACAGGGACCCATCCATGAAAGTGGTTTGGGAGTCACTGGTTAGATTTGCAAAACTGCCTGAGGTTCCCTGTGAGATCAGATCGCAGCCGGGGATGCCAGACTAGAAGGCAAAGCTACTGCAGGAGTCCAGGGTAAGGCAACGGCTTGTGTTGTGGGAGTGGTGTGGAAATGGAGAGGGATGGTTAGATTCTGAAGATACTTGAATGTGGTGGAATGTGCTGGACTGGTTTGTGCTAGATTGCATGTAGGTAGTGTGGGAATGCGGTTAGTTCAGGATAAAGCTCTAGTTTCTTCCTGGGCAGGGTAGATGCATAGGGGTGCTGTTTATTGTCCTCAAAAACACAGAAAATGAAGCCAGTGAAAAGTGAACGAAGATGCTGAGTGTGAAAGGCTGGTGAGATATCCAAGAGGAAAAACGTAGTAGGAAATTAGAGATGCCTGGTTAGTATCAGAAGGGAGCACAGAGGGAGGGAGATTAAAACCACAGATTTGGTGAGCTTATATACTGAGACTGTGCAACAAAAATGAAAAGGTTAAAGTCAATATAATACTGTATTTCATTTTAGTTAAAGTACAAGATTTGTATAAATGTCCTATAATAAAAACAACTATCAAGAAAAGCCATCAGTGAGTTCCCGGCCTTTCATGGTAGAGGAAAGTCTGAAGGGCAGCAGTACCTCAGAGAGGATGGTCCTGAAGGGAGGGTTTGAAGTTTTGTTGGGAAGATTCTGGATAGACAGCTAAGAAGTTGGGTGGGAATAATACTGCAGAGGAATTTCCAGTGAAATGTGCCTGTAACTGTCATTCCGTTTGAACTTGAATGCGCCTTTAAAGGGGATGTGGCCAGCAGAAGCAGCGAGCCCAAGCCTCGCTGATACAAAGCACTCCTTGGTCCAGAGAGTCTGGTGTATCTCGACAGGGCATGAAGGAGTCTAGCCGTATGCATCTCTTCTACCAGGAATGTTTGATTGTTGTCCTTGACATGCAGAGTAGACTAGCATTCAGTAGGATCCTCCAGAATGCAGTACATGTTTTCACTTACGTATTCCCTGCTTTGCCATCTTCATTTGAATCTTATTAGAGATACCTTCATTGATAGAGATAAAAACCGAGGCCCTTGTCCTGAGGCTTTTGATGGATTTATTGAAGGCTTTTTCCAGAGCTAGTTATCTAGAACAGCCCTGTATTTCCACACAGAATTTCAGACACATTTGAAATGCAAGGGAACACTAGCCTTCCGGTATCCAAATATTTTGAGTTAAATTAACAAGATCTTCTATATTATATAGGTATTCAGTTAACTACACATACTTAAATTAATGGGATTCCTGGATATATTTGATACCCAAGTAAATTCTTATCGTTTTCCTGACCAACCTAAGGAGGGCATCTTGCAAAAATGATTAAAAGAACCTTTTAATATCAAATTATAATATAAAATACGTTATCTTTCGCAGTGCCAAAATCTGTACAATCCCAAAAGAGAACAAGTTCTATACACAGCACAATAAAAGATTCTAAAATATTTTCATTATATATATATAAGAACAAGTAAAAGTTCATTCTGCTAAGTAGAGAAATTCTGTCTCATAAACAAAGTTCATTCTAATAAATTTCAATTTTTTTTTTCGAGACAGGATTTCTCCATGTAGTTTTGGTGCCTGTACTAGATCTCACTCTGTAGACCAAGCTGCCCTGGAACTCACAGAGATCTGCCTGCCTCTGCCTCCTGAGTCCTGAAATTAAAAGCGTGTGCCACCGCCGCCCAGCAAATTTCAAATTTTAAAATCATCTCTTCAGCAGCCAACAAATAGTTTAGGATGACACTTCTGAGTGGAACTAAGTTACTCTTGGGTTGGCGATGGTCATTTTCTCAAGCAGTGTTCAGCCAAGGCAATGGGATGCACACCACAAATACAAACAACCCAAGGAAATACAATCCTTCTAGTAGCCATGTTAAAAAATATATTTTTAATTGAGTGAAATTAACTTAACATTTGACTTATTTCAAGGTCAATTTATTCTAAATTATTCAAACCTATAAGTACATAAATAAATACTGACTAGTGAACTAATTGACCCCTTTTTTTTTGGTTTTTTTTTTTTTTTTTTTTTTTGGTTTTTCAAGACAGGGTTTCTCTGTGTAGCTTTGCGCGCCTTTCCTGGAACTCGCTTTGGAGACCAGGCTGGCCTTGAACTCACAGAGATTCGCCTGCCTCTGCTTCCTGAGTGCTGGGATGAAAGGCGTGCGCCACCACCGCCCGGCCGACCCTTTCGTTTTTAATACTAACTCTTTGAGACCTGGCCTGTATTTTACATTTAAAGTATTTTGCATTTAAAGCATCTCTCAGTGGCCAGGCATTGGTGGCGCATGCCTTTAATCCCAGCACTCACTCGGGAGGCAGAGGCAGGCAGATCTCTGTGAGTTTGAGGCCAGCCTGGGCTACAGAGTGAGTTCCAGGACAGGCTCCAAAACTCAAAAAACAAAAACAAAACAAACAAACAAACAAAAAGCATTTCTCAGTTTGGAGCTACTTTTTTCTGGTTCAGTAGCAGATCTGTGGCCTAAGAAACTATAGCAGTACTCCTGTGTTATAGTCTTGACCATAGCTACCTATTGAATATTATTTACATGGCGATTGCTATAGCAATATTCATGTTTCAAAGGAATGCTACAAGCTACTGTCAATCTTATTTTCTATACAGAATGACCAGAGGCTTAAAAAGATTTTAGGTCTTGCCTAAAACTACCAAGTTAACAGATGACAGGCTGAGACTCAAACAGGACATATGTGTGGTGGTATTTTACTTGTACTGAAATGTGATTTTAATTGTATGTTAATAAATAAAGTTGCCTGGGGGTCAGAGCTATTAGAGCCATAGCAAGTGCGTGGCGGCGGTGGCGCACGCCTTTAAGGACCTGGAGGGCGGTACATGCAGGCAGTGACGAGGCAGTCACATGTTTGGGTTTACAACCAATGAGAAGGCAGAACAACTAGAGTATATAAAGACATACACACAGGAAGTAGGTCCCTTTTCGGAGAGCTCTCTTGGCTGAAGAGGATCGCTGAATCAGGAAGGGTGAGGCTCTTAGCTCTGACCTCTTGGCTTTCTTCTCTGACTCGGCTCTGTGTTTCTTATTTAATAAGACGGTTGGTTACATCTACACATATGCAAGTGTATTCAAATGAGATTCACAATTATTTCATGCTTTTATATGATTCTTGCATGTATAATATTCAGAAAACGTAGTTAGTTCATGTTAGAGGAAAGTACACTTTTTTTCTTCCTTTCTTTCTTTTTTTTTTGGTAAAGTGATTTAAATGGTCTGATAGTTGTCTCTATGTCACTTGTGGAATAATAAGATCATTTGTAAATAGCAAAAAGGAAGAAAAGAAGGAAAAGAGGGAGAGAGTAAACTAAAAGACCGTATTGCAGAAGAATGAAGTTAAAGGAAGTAGCCATCTATGACCTTGCTTGATAAAACAAAGTGAATTACGGTAGGAAGGATAGGATGTACCATGGCCTTTTTTTTTTATATAAATTTATTTAATTATTTATTTTACATCCAGGATGCAGTTTCCCCTCCCCCCTCTTCTAGTCCATTCCCCCATGCCCCCTCTGTTCCCATCCCACCCCCGAATCCACTGCTCCTTCGTTTCCTATGAGCCCCGGTTAGATGGTTTTGTGAGTTTTCTGGTGGTGACCTTCACCCCTCTGGCTCCTACAATCCTTTCTCCCTCTCTTCTGCAGGATTCCCTGATCTCCACCTAATGTTTGGCTGTGGATCTGCAGCGGTTTCCATCAGTTGCTGGATGACTCCTCTAGGCACCAGTCTGGTCACAGGAGATGGCCAGCTCAGGCTATGTATCTGCTATTTCTAGGGGTCTAAGCTGTGGTCTTCCTTGTAGATTTCTGGGAATTCCCTTCAGCAGGGTTTTTATCTGACTCCAAAAAGCCCCCTTTCCAATAGTCTCTCTCAGTACTCCCCCCACCTCCCCACTCCCCCCGCAACCTAATCGCTCCTGTTCTCTTCCCTGCCAATCCTCACTCACTCCACCCATGAAATCTCTTCTATTTCTCCTTCCTAGGGAGAGCTGAGTGTCCCTTCATGAACCCTCCTGGTTACCTAGCCTTTCTGGCACTGTGGATTGTAGCATGGTTATCCTTTACAGTTAATATCCACTTAAGAGTGAGTACATACCATGTTTGTTCTTTTGGGGTTGGGTTACCTCACTCAGGATGATCTTTTCCTAGTTCCATCCATTTGCCTTCAAATTTCCTGGTGTCCTGTTTTTATCAGCTGAGTGGCACTCCATTGTGTAAATGTACCATATTTTCTTTATCCATTCCTCAATAGAGGGACCTCTAGGTTTTTTTCCAGGTTCTGGCTTTTACAAATAAAGCTGCTATGAATAAAGTTGAGCAAGTGTCCATGGGCATGTCTTAATGAGATGTTAGAAAGACAATTGAGTTTGTGGTAACAAACTCAAAAAGTTGTTGAATCTGGCTGGGTAGTGGTGGTGCACGCCTTTAATCCCAGCACTTGGGAGGCAGAGGCAGGCAGATCTCTGTGAGTTTGAGGCCAGCCTGGTCTACAGAGTGAGCTCCAGGAAAGGTATCAAAGCTATATAGAGAAATCCTGTCTCAAAAAAACGAAACAAAAAGTTGTTGAATCTGTATTATTGAAGATTGAAATAAAGTGAGCAACAAAAATGTTTTTTAAAAATCAGCAAATTGATTTGAATACTAGCTTATAAGCTAAGAAAAATCACTAAATGATATTTTGTGTAAATATAATCTAAGAACTAAAGAAGGGTATCAGGCAAAGACTGATTTGGATGAAATCCAAGATGAATGTGAGAGCCACTGCTATAGAGTTGGTGGTCCAGAAGTAATTACTAAGAAGCCCTCCAGGGATTCTAGGGTGTTAATATTCTAATCACCCTCCATGTAGCACTGAATGTGCTCACTTTTTATTTGTATCAATTTCTTATTCTTGTTTTCTAAAATTTTTTAAATTTTATGTATTTATTGTGCATGGGCACACTTGTTCTGTGGTGTGTCTGTGTGTATGTCTGTATGTGTATATTTGTGTAGGTGTGTGTATGTGTGTGTCTCTCTGTATTTGTGTCTGTATGTTTGTGTATGTGTGTGTGTGTGTCTGTGTTTGTGTCTGTGTATGTGTGTGTCTGTCTCTCTGTGTATATATTCCTGTCTCTGTGTGTGCATGGGTGTGTGTGTGTGTGTGTGTGTGTGTGTGTGTGTGTGTGTGTGTGTGTCAGAAGACAACTTGTGAGAATCGTTTCTCTCCTTTTCCATGTGGATTTTCAAAATTGAACACAGCCCCTTAGGCTTGGCCGCAGAGTCGTCTCACTACCCAGTTTCTTAATCTTGCCATCCTTTCAACTTTACTAATTAGATCTCTGTTTTTTTTTTTTCTGAACACTAAGCTATATTTTTCTTTACTATTCAAGATACCACTTGGGATCCAGGTATTCCAGGAAGTCTTCCCAAACCACAAATGGAACTTACAGCATCCTCTACAGAGTGGAAGAATGGCATAGGTAATTGACGCATGTGTGCTCATTCCATGAGTTAAATAATGCCATAGGATCAACCTCTAGCCTGTGTTCTGGTTGACTTTCCCACCCCAGCTTCCCCAGGACTGGTTCAGACCACACCATCTTCCTTCGTGCTTAGGTCCCCTTCCTCTCCCCCAAGCATTCCTCCCCAGCCCCTCTTGCTTGCTGCTTACCTCCGTAAGGAGACAACGTATTGAGCAAAGCCAATATGAATACACACAGGCAGCTGTTGGTAAAGAAAAGACTGAGGCCAAGATGCACTCCCCTCCTTTTCCTGCAACAGAGTTTACCTCCCTAGCTGACTAAAGGAGACAGCATACTTGAAAGAATACACCAGCTTCAAAGCACACAGAGCAAGGATCTAAGTGTAATTTGCCGTGTTAATACTACTTGACATTTCATCTTTAGGGTCTCCGTTTCCTTGCTTACAGTAGTGACCAGAATATGAGGCAGGGTTGTTGCATGTATTCTTTTATTTATCGATTAATTTGGGGGAAGGAAATAGGCATATTGACACGTATGTATGTGTTAAACGTAAGATATAAAAAAATAATTGTTTCCCTTCAAGAGGTCTGCCATAGATTTAAAAGAAGCAAAGTGTTAGTCAGATTATTTCAAAATGGCATGTTGGGAGTAAGTAGTGGAAACAGTAGAAATAGTAACAGAGGAGTTGTCAGTTTACCATGGACAGCCAGGTTCCATTAAGCTGGGGACACCTGAGCGGTAATGAGAGGACAGAGGAGAGGTACGTATTCTGGATTTCTACTAATGTGTTTCTTCTCTCCTCAATGTTTCTAAGACATGCATATTTCTCCATGTTCACGGTGCCTATACTCCACATGGAAAAGAGACAGGTTAGTGGGCAGATGTGCTCTGATTTGACTCAACTGACTTGGCAAATTAACCAATACTATCAATTTAAAAAAAAAAAACAATTGATTAATAGTCTGAGCAGAAAGAAAACTCATAGCCAGGAGGCCGTGCTCCAGTAAGCCTACATACACACTGCTCTCATTGGCTCGGTTGCATCCCTGCCAAGAATGAGTTCTGTTTATTCCCAAATTGTTGATGCCAATTGGCTTATTATTGTAACCATGTAATATAATTAAACATCACTTACATAATTCAGTGAAATAGAGGGTAAAATGAATGTGTTGTTTCTTTGAAAGTAAGTTGACTCTGTTGGAAAAGGTCAAGAAAATAAATTGCTAAAAAATTTTCCAGCTAATTGGGGAGAGGAAGTATAATGCTACATCGTTCCCCACAATTCCATATTCCTGCTGGTTTGTCAATGTTGGAGCTTTCACTCCGCTTAGAGAAATGGAAGTGAGAGGTTACAGATCATGCCCTATGACGAAGAAAAACTGCAGGGGTCATCAATATCCAAACTAATGACCATTGACCTACATCAACTAGCTAGTGAATAACTGCATTAACTGTGTTAAGTTAAATGGTTAAATAATTGGTTCTCTAACTGGCCTCTCCTTCTAGACTCTATATATTTTATGCTTCTCCTTATGGGATAAGAAGGTAAAGAATTGTATGTTGTGATGCAGATGTTAGAAATCTTTGGTGGAAAGATATAGTCCCTTTTAATGAGTAGGACAGCTGAGATAAAAAAGGAAGTCAAAGGAAGGGGACAGGGGCAGAAAGCAGAGCATTTACTTCAAGCAAGACATGGACAAAAAGTGGGACACAAGGATACAGGAAAGAGATGTTGGTAGCCTCGACTTTGGTCATAACAACAGAATTGGAGATGTATGGTGGGCATTAGATACAACCAGTATAATCTAACAGGATATAACTGTTGTCCAGATGTGAGGCCGGTAGATTGGGACAGAGAAAATATGATTCCCACTTTCTGATTTAAGAAATGAGTTCTGGCCAGGCAGTGGTGGCACACGTCTTTAATCCCAGCACTCGGGAGGCAGAGCCAGACCAATCTCTGTGAGTTCGAGGCCAGCCTGGTTTACAGAGTGAGATCCAGGACAGGGCACCAAAACTATACAGAGAAACCCTGTCTCAAAAAAACAAAAAGAAAAAAAAAGAAAAGAAAAAGAAATGAGATGTGTGATACTGTTTGTCCAAACAACAGCTTTAATGGAGAAGCAGAGAACATGGAGAAGAGAAAGCCATTCTCACCTGGAATCCCCGGGCTTGTGCCACAAGACGCAGTAAGTAGAAAAGTCCTGTGAGCAACCGTGCGTATTGAGTGCAGGAAAGAAGAAAAGCAAGCTGGGAGAAAGCTCAGTCAATTGGAGTACTTAAGCACTTAAAAACAAAAACTGGGATGATGGCACACACTCGTAATCCAAGCACTTGGAAGATGGTAGCAGGCAGATCCCTGGGACTCGCTGGCCGGCTAGCCTAGCCACGTGGCTGAGCTCCAGGCTCTTGAGAAACTGGCTTTGAGAACCAAGGTGGACAGCTCCTAAGGAACAGCGCCTGAAGTTGTCCTCTGGCCTACACACACCTGGGTATGCATGCACACGCAAATGTACGTGCACCCACCAACACATGCACACCAAAGACGAGGAGGAGGAGGAGGGGGAGGAGGAGGAGGAGGCAGCATCTGAGCATGTTCAGTCGTTGAAAACATGAAAGGTAGAGAAGGTCTCCCAAGGACAGTTAATAGCACAGGAAGAGAAGACAGGACAATGGCTTAGGAGGAGACTGAGGAAAAATGTTAGGGAACAGATAGAAAGGGAAGGAAACCAAAATTGAGATCATTAAAGGAGCAGAGAAAGAATTGGGGGTAAGGGGGTGTTTTAAGTATTCACTGCTGCTGAATGAAAACTACCCAGTAGATCCCACAGTACATAGGTTGCATGTAGGTATCCCCAATTGAGGTCACAGTCAGTGGACTGTGTAGCTGAAATTTTCCTGTGTCCCGCCCAGTCCTCAGCCACTCAGACCCAAGTAAACACACAGAGGCTTGTATTAATTAAAACTGCTTGGCCATTAGCTCAGGCTTACTACTGACTATCTCTTACACTTAAACTCAGCCCATTTCTGTTAATCTACATGTTGCCACATTTTCCGTGGCTTTACCTGTGTGCCGTTACATGCTGCTTCCTGGATGGTGGGCTGGCACCTCCTGACTCAGCCCTTCCTCTTCCCAGAATTCTCCTTGTCTGTTTACCTTGCCTATACTTCCTGCCTGGCTATTGGCCAATCAGCATTTCATTTGTCAACCAATCAGAACAACACATTATTGGCGAAATTATTAAGGCCACTCCACGTAGTTAAAAGGAGATTTATTTAATGGCATAACTTACAAATTAAGGGATAGGTAGGTTGCGGGGTCTGGGGAAGGTGTATCGCAGTCCAGCGGTGTTCTCTGGAGCTCTGCTTGGCCCACCTCCACCATCCAGGGTCCCGGAACAGAGAGAGCCAGCGCATCTGGATCTCGGGTCTTCAGGGTCCTCTCTTGGCCTTGTAGGCGTGACAGTTACCGAAGTCTCAATGGGGGTTGGAACTTCCAGATCAAAGCTGGAATGGCTACCCACTACAACACATATTCACAGCATACAGAACATCTTTTTATAAAAGGCTGCGGGACTGTGGGTGAGAGATTAGTCCCAGGCGGGACACAGAAAAACTTCTGGACTACAGGACTGTCTAGTAGAAACTAAAGCACTAAGACAAAAGGCTATATTGAAATGAGGAGTGAGGGGCTGATAAGGAAAAAGAGGTGAGGAGTGCCATAATTTTGCTATTTGAAAAATCATTTGCAATGTGGAGTAGAGAATAAGAAAAGCCTAGAACACATGAGAAGGGCAGATCTGACCACCTTGCATTCCAAGGTAGATGGATCTGAATTTTATATCAGAAGATACACAAAGCGCAACTAAGTATAACGGAGATTATTCTACTTAAAGGAAGCGAGCTGGCTTTGACAAGAGTGTAGAGGATACAATTAGCACATGTGAATTAGTAAAGAGAATTGTTAAGTTTCCCGAAGCTTGCGCAGAGCTGCATCCCAGCAATTTGCTACTGAAAATACAGCACTCAAATTTACATAAGACCTAAAGAGATGGAGGATATTCAAGTTCACTCCTTTACTAATGTCATTCTTAACTTTCTCATGCAATGTTTTCTAGCAGAATGGGAAGAGAGGAGCTGGAGCCTAAGTTCTAGAATTGTACTTAACACCAGATTTGACTGAGGGAGGTAGTTAACACACATGAACATCGTCCATCCTGCCTACTGGCACTGGGAAAGAAGACTGCGGAATACTGAGTTAGCGGCCACTGCAACCGTTTAGAGTTCAGCACCACTAACAGGGATGGTGAAGAGAAAAAGGACTCCTCAGGTGAAGTTCAAGGTCAGGAACAACTAGATTTGGGGGCTGCAGAGATGGCTCAGTGGTTAAGAGCACTGGCTGCTCTTCCAGAGGACCTGGGTTCAATTCCCAGCACCCACATGGCAGCTCACAACTGTCTGTAACTCTACTCCCAAGGCATCTGGCACCCTCACACAGACATACATGTGGGCAATATACCGCATAAAAATAAATCTTAAAAAGACCAACTAGATTCAAAACCTGATTGATTGTGAGAAGTAAGGCATCATCTATGAAGTCTTAATACTCTTGTTTTATTTTGGCTGTCCTGGCACTGGCTATGGAGACCAAGCTCACCTTGAACTCATGGAGATCCTCCTGCCTCTGCCTCCCTAGTGCAAGAATTAAAGTGTATGTCACCATGCCCCACAGTTTAAAATTCTTTAGTGAAAGTTTTTGCTGTGCCAGACACCCCAAGAAGAATTAACAATATCCATTTCTTTTTTCAATAGCTTCGCATCCTAAATGTCTTTATTCACATTTTTGCAGATAATAAAATTGTAGTTTTGAGAATTAAGCCAGTTCCTAAGTTCACCAAGATTTTTAAGTCAGATGGCAGATTCACAAATCAACATCATTTTTCCTTTTTCAAATATACAGTGGCTTTCACATTGGATCCTTGGCTTGTTTGAGGGTCATATAAATGCAGATTATATACACGGGGAAAAAATTTAGGTATAGAAAAGAAATGATGAGTTTGGTTTTAAACATAATTTTTTAAAAGCCTAGAGAGTATCTCTGAGAATTTTTAGTAGGCAGTTATGTACATAAGTGAGAAACTTAGGAGAGATGTTTTGAGGGAGGCAATGTATTTAAATAGCGGCTAAAGTCACAGGAAGGAGTGAGATTTGACAGGGAGCCTGAAACAGGAGGAGAGATCTACGTGGTGAGCTAAGAAACTCCAAAGTAAAAAAGGAGGTCAGAGAAAAGCATCAGCTAGGGAAGAAAGGGAAGATACATGATAGAGAACTGGCGGAAGATGATGTCACACCCCAGAAGGACAGCGTTCCCAGAGCAGGGTGTGATAAAACCTCATCAGCTGCTAGAGGGTGGCCGAGGGAGATAAGGACTAGAAAACCATGCATGAGATTAAGCATAACTGTGAGAAATTTTCATTTACAGCTCCCAGGATTGTCTACCCGGGTCTTGCATTCTACCCTGTGTGGAAGAGAAAAGTTCAAAGCTTTAGTTGCACATACAAAGACATGAGTTTCATCTTAAAAACTTTGGATGCTTATGACAGCGTTGTTCTGACAACCTCCACGTCGCAGGAGTTAGGAAGACAATCCCTGTATCAAGGCATCCTGAGTTGGAAGCTCGGGTGTGCTGCTTGCTGGCCTTCTAAGTGTGGGCAAGGTGCTTAACATCCTTGTGTCTTGGTTTCTGTATCTGGATATTAGGAGCAGTAAAAATAGTGGAGGTGTTGTGGACTAAGTGAGTTTAACTCTAGTTAAGAGAATAAATATGGTTAAGTGTTCCCAACAGCTCTTAGCACAGCCTAAGAGCAGATTAGGGTTTGTTAAATTGATAAAATAATAATAAGATTGATTTAAAGGAACCATATGTTCATGCTTTGGACACACCTTGAAAAATATATAGTTAAATATTTTACAATATAGAAAGATATTAATAGATTAAATTGGAAAGAAAATTGTAAATCATGTGAGTAGAATGATCTCACAGTTGAGTGAATAATGTGTCCCATGGGACATATTTATTGGCGATATTTAAAAAAATTAGAAAAATATATACCAAGGTTGTATCCAAGTGGTTGGGTTATGGATTTAATAATTATGATTTCCTACATTACATACATACAAAAACTAACAAAACAAACACAAAAAAACCCATTATTTTCATGATATACAAAAATACAAAATATCCAGAAGGTCATGGCGTGGAACTGTAAACAATTCTCTTTTAGCAGACTTTCCATGAAGTACTGCAGAGTGAGAGCCTAGAAGCCGGCACACAACACGGGAGGATCTCTCACAGAGAGCACTTGCTTGTCTGGATGCTCCCAATCCAGGAAGACTGCTGTTAACCATTCAAATATCTTCCAAACTATTACAATGTCTGTACCGGCACAGATCAACAGAACAGCCAAGCACAGGAGGTTAGAGGAGAAAATTTTTAAATAAAAAACGTTCTGGAAAAAGGAGTATTCCAGCAGAAGCTTCTGTACATTGCTGCTGGGCTCAAGGAAACACCCAGAACCCACTGCCTGTGGGAACTGCCTCAGGATCATGAAGAAGATGGACTCAGATGCCAGACGGTCTGAAAGAGCAAGATAAGGAGGGATGTACTGTTTTAAGATGGGCTCTTCCCACCTGTCATTTATATAAACTTGGTTTTGTGTCTAACCTAAAATCTCTTGGATGATCTCTTCTAAATGTAGATTATTATTAGCTCCAGCCCATGAGTGGATAATACTCCTAATGTTCAATGCTCCCAATGTTCAATAAAATCGACTTGAATGACTAATGACTTGAGAAGTATAAATCCACCACAATGAAAAAAATTTTAACTAACTGCAAATAATTTTAAAGGCCTATTTATAAATGGAGTTTCATTTTGAATTTATGATTTCTATTTAGACAAAAGTTCTAAAAGTAGGTGGGAATAAAATCCCAAAGAATTATGCTATCTTTGCAACCAAGTAGCAATCTTAGATTTTTGCCAATTTTAATAATTATGTAAAAATGCCATTTGTACACAAGTTACAATTCTAGATCATAGGGTAAAAGTAGAAATAACCATAATGTATTTTTTTTTTTTACTTTTAAAAAGGCCTTAAAATGAAAACACAACCTTAAGGGGACATAGAGTGTATGGTGCATATACAACAAAGTAAAAATAGTCGTCTTTTAAAAGGACCTTGACCTCAGGTATCATTTCCTTTGAATTATAGGTCGATCCCATCCAGGTTGTCTGAAAATTTCAGACTGTGATAATGAGCCTGTTCAGGCCGCCACAACTTTCTTAATATTTAAAGTCCTCACAAATATCAGAAACATAGCCAGGTTATCTAAATAGACATTTCTAGCACTTTCCAAAGTTCAAATAGACATAAAACACAGAAGAGGGGATGAGAGCTACATTAGCAGTGTGCCACCACTCCATAGCTCCCCGACTCCCTTAGACTTCCCTGCCCTCCTTCCACAGTCCTCCCGCCCCTCCTCCCCATCCGAGTCTATAGACAAACAAGCTCTCCAATCTAATTCTTATCACGATGGAAACAAGGCCAGACCTGCTCTTCTAGATAAAATGCTTTGGCTTCTAACTGCCTGGTTGCTTATCTTTGATCTCGCAGTGTTCACCATAACCCTTTTCCTGACCTGCTCCACTTCTTGTTTTCAGATGAGCAGCAAGAGCTGGGGGACGGGGGGGGGGGGGGGGGGGGGGGGGGGGACATGCTTAAATGGACAAGTTCACTCTCCCAAGCCGCTCACTCACTCTCTGTTCCTTTTCAAGTCTGTCCAAACCTCTTCTTATTTAAGATGTCATTCTGAAATGAACAGAAACCACGTAACGTGCTCCATGTGACTTGATGCATTTCTCATTCTCTTTTACTGACTTTTACTCTTCCACATTATAAAACTGTTTATATCTTTTCTTACGTGTTGAACTTTTCATGTTGATCCCCCACCCCTGGGACAGTGGAAGGGTTTCCTGAGGAATAGCAGATTTCATAGTTACCTTCCCCCATATCTTGTCTACTTAAACCAGCAGTTCTCAGCCTTCTAATTTTGCAACCCTTCAATACAGTTGCTCATGTTGTGGTGAGCCCCCCAGCCATAAAATTATTTTCTTTGCAACTTCACAACTGTGATTTTGCTACTCTTATGAATCGTAATGTAAATATTTGATATGCAGAAGGTCTTGGGTGACCCCCTATGAAAGAGTCATTCGAACCACACTGGCTTAGATCATAAAGAGCTAAATGGTTTTCTCATCCAAGCTGTTTGTCTTACCTAAGTTCTTACATTTTCATACGAAGCATTGAGCTTCTTGACCTTTCTTGAGCAGAGACAGTGAATGACATGCAGACCTGAGCAGTCAGGCCATGTTAACTGCCCCGTGTGGTTGTCTTGCTGGGTAGTCAGACCATGGAAGTGCCCCGTGTGTGTTGTCTCGCTGTGTAGGTTTAGCTTCATACACCCTCACTCTTCATATGTGAAACAGAGAGTGGAACTGCTCT